CCCTCGTCCCTGCTCTTGCTGGCTGCAGCGGCGCGCCCAGCCGGCTGTGCCAGTGCGCTGCGGGCCTCGCCGCCGCGGCTCGCGCTAGCGCCTGTCTCCCGCGGCGGAGGCGGAAACGTAGATCGCGGCAGCGCGTCTCTTCCAAAGAGAGCAGGGCGTTGTGGCACCTTCAGGGTGCCGGCCGTCGCCGAGCCACGGGCGCTGCCTGCGACTCGATGACGCCGCGGGGGTCGCGCCCGGCTCGCTCCTGCAACTCCGCCATCAACCGACGCCTTCGCGGCGCCGCTCGGAGCCAGATCGCCTCGATCACCTTGCGGAGCAGGCATTCCGCGGACGGGGCGCCCCGGGCCCAGAGGGCCTCCTGCAGCGAGATGAACGGGGGCCGCCGACCGAGCACCACCGCGAGGCACGGATAGCACCAATCACGCCAAGTCCGCGCGGCGCTCTCCGCGCCCGCGAGGCCCCCCAACCATCCCACCGCCCAAGTCACCTACCTGGCGACGCCGTCGATGTCGAACGCCTCCTCAGCTGCGTTCGGCGCGGCGGCGGCGTGGGCCGTCCGACAGCGGCTTCGCGCGCGCTTGGGGGCGCGCTTCCACCCGGCGCTTTTGGGGCTGGCTGACTGCGCCGCGGGGCTGCCTGCTGCCCAGAGGCAGAGGCAGCTGGCGGAAGCACCCCTCGCCTAGCACGCTTCGCCGCCTCGGTCACTTGTGGGGGGCGCAGGTGCTGCGCGGTCGCAAGTCCGCCCCGCGTGTGATAGCCGCCTTTCTTGCCCTCCCCAGGGTCACCCTCGGGGCCGCTGCTGCCGCTGCTTCTGCTGTCGCTGCTCGCGACAAACAAGGCGCCCTCTGTCACCGAACGCCTCGCCAGCTTCCGCCGCGCCCTCGCCGCCGCGCGCAGCCCGTGGGGGCCCTGGCTGCGGCGGTCTGGCGTGCTTCCTCGCTGGATCCTTCCTCAGGCGCGCGCGCGGCCTTCGTGGGCGAGCGAGACCTGTCCCGCCGCTTGACGCCGACGGCGTGGCTCACCAGCGCCGCGCGCCTACGGCGGGGCCGCGAGTGAGCTGGGGGAGCGTAGCCAGCGGGGCCAGTTCCGCACCTCCCACTGCCAAGGCGGGGCCAATGCGGGCGGTGCGAAACTTGTCGAGCTACTGCAGGAGCTCGTCTGCGCGCCCCCTGAAGTCGTGCCTGACGACCGCGCGCAGCCGCGCCAGCCTCGCGGTCGCCGAAAGGCCCAGGCCGTCTCGCAGACCCCCTGCGCGAGTCGCTGTGCATCCTGTGCAACGTCCGCCAGCTGGTTGAAGAGCGGATCGAACTGTGCGCCGTTGAGCGCAGCTCTGACGAGGTCGGTCCAGCCGTTTATCCACTGCGCGACGCTAGCCATCTCGCCCTGCAGGCCCGGGGACCACGTCTGCGCGTGCTGCCGAAGACGCTGCGTGAGAGCTCCCACTTGCGGCTTAGCCTCGTGGAACTGCGGGTCGGACTCGCGCGCCTTCTCCGACGGTTCTTGACCCCCGTCGCCACGCAGCGGGCCCGCAGCACCATACTCGCTGGGACAGCAGCCCCGAGCCATTATGTCCTTAATGTGGCTGCTCGTCGTCGGGCTTTGCCTGCATTCCAGGGCCGCCCGGGGCGGGAGGATACTATTGCGGCGCGAGGGGCGGCATGTTGATCAGCAGGTGTCGGTTAGCTGGGATTGTGCCGCTGCAATCCAAGACCGATCCCGTTCGTGCCGCATGAACCTCCAGAAGATTCCGCTGTTTCACGATTGTGCTGCGTCCACCCTTCATCGCTGCCCGATAGCGTTCCGAAGCTCGTGAGGCGGCGCACGTATGCCCGTCAGCCTTCCGTGCCCTTTCGCCACGCCTGGACGCATATGTTCATGGCGAGGTTCTGGTCCTTTTGCGCCTGCGGATGAGTGAACAACGACCGCATGTGGGCTTGGACCAGCAGCCGCGCCATGACGCACCGGCGGCACCAGTCGGCCCAGTCGTCCTCAGCATCGCTCTCCTCGGGCTGGCCCAGGTCGCAAATCCAGCGCTCGCTCGAGCGTGCGACAAGCAGAATATGTTTGGTTGCTCCTGCCGCGCGGTGCCGCAAGCGGGGTTTTCGTTGCTGTGCCCAGGCTGGTCGATGCAGGTCTTCCATGCGCTGTGGCCGCTGAGCGTCGCGCTGCTGCTCCGTCTTGTCCTGCACGCCCTCCTCATCCACGACCGTCAAATCGCCGCCGATGGTCGCCTCGGCAGCACTACGAGTCGAGCCCACCAATCCTCCGATTTTGCCTGCCGTGTTGGGTCCTGCCGATTTCGCCAACGAGGCACCCGCCATGACGGGTGCCCTCTAGGCTGAAGCCTGACAAATGCGTGCCGTGACGGGACTGGCCTGACCAGGCTCGTGTGTTTGGATGTGTGTGTATGTTCGCTCGCGTGTGTGTGTGTGTGTGTGTGTGTCTGTGTGTGTGTCTGTCTGTGTGTGTGCGTGTGCGCGTGCGTGTGCGTGTGCGTGTGTGTGTGTGTGCCTGTGCCTGTGCCTGTGTCTGTGTCTGTGTCAATGTCTGTGTGTTTGTCTGTGTCAATGTCTGTATCTGTGTCTGTGTGTGTGTCTGTGTCAGTGTCTGTGTGTGTGTGTGTCAAAGCGTGTGCGCACCGGCCGGGGGTATGTGCGCGCGTTTGGTTCAACATTGAATCCCGATTCCACCAGAGCTCGACGCATCGACGACCGAATGTACCGGACGACACATAAATCAGCGGAACAATACGACAGCGTTGGCTAACTGAGTGACAGAGGTGCCAGGGACAAGGTAAGGAGATGGGGGAAATCTTCTCGGTCTAGCTAGAGGCAACCTCGTACCCTCTGCAATCCAGGGCAAATCCACATGGACTTTTACTTCGAGTCTGGAGGACGGTGTCGCTCACTACTAGACAGTCCCCCCTGTTCTCCCTGCTCCCTTATCCCTCCTCATCCTTCCTTCTTTCATTCCTTCCTTCTTCCCCCTCCTCTTTCCTTCCTTCATTTCCTCCGTCCTTCCTTCCTTCCTTCATTCCTTCCTTCCCCCCTCCTTTCTCCTTCCTTCATCCCCCTTCCTTCTCTAAAGATCCTCGTCCTCCTCCGCCCCCCCCCTCCTTGACCTCTACCCCCTCCTCCTCCTTCTCCCCCTCCTTTTCCTCCTCCTCCTCCTCCTCCTCCTCCTCCTCCTCCTCCTCCTCCTATTCCTCCTCCTTTTCCTCCTCCCCCCCCTCGTCCTCGCCCTCGTCCTCGTCCTCCTGGGGGACCGTGCTGAGCAGAGGAAGGAGGGATAGAAGGCGAAGGACATGCTGAGCAGGGGAAGGAGTGGGGATGGAATGAAGCGCCCAGGTTTCACTTCCCGCGCCAATCGCGCTCAGAAATGCTCAAACTCTCCTCTTTCCGTCCTCTGCAAGGTCACACTTATAACCCAGAAGATCGGGGGAAGCATGCGGCACATTCAGGAGATGGACCGAGGACGAGCGACAGGGAGACAACGCATGGGGAGAGAAGGGGGGAGAGAATACAGGAGGCCCCATGCACCCTTAGCACCTGCGGATGGGCCTGATGAATTTTCTTCCTACATCCTGCTGTGCCCACGCTTCAAACAGAGCCCCCCCGCCCCCTCTCCCCCCCCCGCCTCCTTTCGCAATGCCGAGAAGATGCGTTCCGCTCCAAACGCGCTCAGAGATGCACAACATATGTTGTTTTCCGTATGCAAGGTCGTTCTTATCTCCTCAGAGAATCTGGGGAAATATGCAGCACGTGCACAGAATTGGCACAACATCTCCGTTCAAGGTGATTACCTGTCTACGAACGTGAATGTGTCTCCGACTTGGATAACACGCCCCAAGGATACCCTCTCTGAGACGGCGTCTTCAATTGTATGAAAAGTGCGTACATGCCTCTGGGATCCAGGCTGCTGAATTCCAGCCGCGGAAACAAAAATCTGCCAAAGTTGCTCTTCACTGCGTCAGCTTCTTCGACTTGGTCTAACATGGCACTTTGGAGCTGGATCATCGCTGTCGGGCTCAATTTGGCTGTGACTACTCCATACTTCGTGAAGAAGCCCGAAGCTCGTCATTGGCACCCTCCTGTTGCCACCAAATATCGGGGCATCCATCTCCCCTCCCCTCTGGCAGCTGCTGTCCAGCGGCGGCTCTTGGTCAACAAATTGTTCGCAAATGGCAATCCTGGCAACCTGGCATTTCCTTGCGTGGGTACGGCGGATCCGTTATCTTCGTCTTTGGCTTGTCGTGTTTTCCAAGGTCACACTCCAATCCTCCATAGACTTTCGGAAAGTTGCGGCACAAGAAAATTCCATCACCAGATTACACACTGCCACGTGAGAAAATGGTCGCGAGACGTACGGCATCGGAATGGCAGCAGGGATTGTGAAATTAATTATCCGTCGTCCCTCCTCCCTCCCCTACTCCCTCTCCCCGTCACTGGAGAATGTATGGAGCGGAAGTCGTGTGAGTGGGATCCAGTGAAAGTCCTCACTCCGTAGCTCGGATTACCTGGGCCTCCGACGCCGACTGAGAGGAGGGGGGGCAGGAGGAGGAGGAGGAGGAGGAGGAGGAGGAGGGGGAGGAGGAGGACGACGATGAGGGAGGAGGAACAGGGGGGGGAAGGAGACCGGCTCTTACGTTTTCCCCCGTTTCAAGGCCGCCTGGATGGTCCTCCTCTCCATGCCCGGATCCGTCCTGAGACCCTGATCGGAACGCGCTCCATGACTGGTCTGGCCCCTGAAGTCACTGCGGGCTCCAGGGCCGTCCAGCTGGTTTCAGGGGGGGTCTCTGGGGACGGCCGGCTTCGGAGGCAAAGGGCAGCAAGGGCGACGGGAGAGAACGCAGGGAGCGCCGAGTGGACGAGCGGTGTCGAGTTCGAGCTCGCAAGCTGGGCGGGGACGCGGCCCAGATGAGAGCTACATCTGGGGGGCCAGCTGAGCGCAAATGCTGGACGATAGCGCGCGGAAACACCGCGAGCGATAAAAAACGCCTTGGTGGGCTTTGATGACGTAGATGATCGTGTCGAGGGGAACTGCTCCTCCGGGCTTGCGCAGTCAGCTGAGTGGCAATATGGACTGCGTGCGTCTATATCAGTCTTTACATCTGCTAACACGACTGGGGATCTCTGCATGTGGAAACTCGGAGGTCAGCATCAGGGTGCGCGCAGTAAACGAGTTTCCTCTTCCGTCGTCTCTCTTCTCCTTCGGGGATGGGTTTACCACTGTCCCCTATTCGTAAGCACGCCCTCCCCGACCCGACAGGCAGCCAACCCGGACCCATGCGGACACCCATGCGGTCCCTCCCCCCCACCGTGCCGATCAAAAGCACTACAACATTTACGTTGCCTCCAAACCTGGAATATGCGCGGGCGCCCCGCGACCACTTCGCATAGGCTTGGGTGCAAGTTTTGTATCGGTAGGTTTTTAATAGGGACGGTGGGGGTGACGGCATATTGCTTGCTGCGCGCAAGACAACCACCCCTGTCAACAAAAAGAAAAATACGACACGATGCAGCCCAAATCTAGAGCATGCACGATCGCCCCGCGACAACTGTGCATTGGTTTTTGAACGGGACGGCGGGGGTGCTCTCATTTTGCTTGCTGCGCGCAGACCAACCACCCCTTTCAAATTGCAATCGAAAAAATCATCTTTGCCCCCAAATCTGGAGCATGCGCGGGCGCCCCGCAACCACTTCGCTTACGCTTTTGACAGGGATACGCGGGTGCTACTTATGCGCTGGGGGGGCGGGTGGAAGTGAAAAAGAGACGGCTTGCGCCTTGTGGGCAGGAGGTACCTTGTTCACTGTTCCCTATTATTAAACACCCCCTCCCCCTCCGCCACCCGACGGGCAGCCAGCCCGGACCCATGCGGGCACCAGTGCGCTGCCCCCCCACCGTCCCTTTCAATAAACATCACAAAATACACGCTGCCTCAAAGTCTGGGGCATGCGCGGGCGCCCTCATGTTGTCTGCGCGCAGGCCCAGCACCCCCCCACCATCCCCTGCAACAGATATGATGCAACGTACACTTTTTCTTTTACCATCGCGGAGGGGCCCAGCGGCAGGTTGGATGCTCGTTCTGGGGACCTTCCTGGAGCCACTCGCTCCACTCGTGCGTCGAAGCTGCGTCGAACGTCAGTCGAGTTGGGTCGACCCTGAGTCGAACCTGAGTCGAACCTGAGTCGAACTTGAGTCGAACTTGCGTCGGACTTGAGTCGAACTGGGGTCGAACAGATCCGTTAGGTGGGCTCCAGGAAGGTCCCCGAAACGAGCATCGAAGGCAGGTGAGGAAGAAGACCGACGACGACAAGAAGGGCGCCAAGGCGACAGGCGGCAGGGGCAGCAGCGGTCACGGCGGCGCGCACAACCGGCCGCCGCCCCACCCCGCGCGGCCGCGCGGCCGCGCGGCGAACATTGACCCGGGCGCGCCGGAGGGCGCCGCCGTGGCGGTCACCAAGATCCGCCCAAGATAGCCCCAAGACCGTCCAAAAAGTCTCCAAGATAGCACCAAGATGGCCCCAAGACCGTCCAGAAAGCCTCCAAGATGGCCCCAAGATAGCCCAAGATAGCCCCAAGATGGCACCCAGGCCCGGGCCGCCGCCCCGCCCAGCGCGGCCGCGCGGCCGCGCGGCGAGCACCAACCGGGCGCGTCGGGGCGCGCGCCAGGCGGTCACATCAGGGGGACGTAAGACCTGGGCACATGGGGCTCGGAAATCCCCGGCGAGGTCGTCGAAAAAATGACGAGGCCGAGCCTGCCTTTTGACGAGGCCTCCCGCTGCAGACATCCCACGAAGCTCCTCCTCGTCGAAATCCGAGGCGCGGTCGTCAAAAAACGATGGCGAACCCGAGTCCTGGCAAACCCGGGTCTTACGCTCCCCCAACACCAACATCCGCCCAAGATAGCCCCAAGACCGTCCAAAAAGCCTCCAAGACGTCCCAGGCCCCCTCCAAGAGCACCCCCCAGAAGGGCCCAGGAGGCCACGCTCATGACTCTTCCATCGGGGACTTACACTTCTAGCATATACGACGTTTCGGCCTTCACGGCGTCACAGACAGCTTCGTCTTCAGGGTCGGCGGCACCGGCCGTAAGGCCTTCGCAATCTGGATCATGCGCGGACGCACCGCGATCACATTGCAATGGTTTGTGGCAAGGGCGGGGAGGGGCAGCAGATCGCCTGCTGAGCTCAATGCCAACACTGCCCGAACATCCCCTGCAGCAGCCAGAGTTCACGCTGCACCGAAATCTGGATCATGCGCAGACGCCTCGCGCTCGTACTGCAGGCTCACCACCCCTATTCAAAAGCGAAAAAAAAACAAACTCATTTTGCCAGGGGCCGCAGTTGGGGGGGGGGCGGCGCACTTCCTGCCGCGGGTAGGCCCACCATCCCTGATCGCGGGCGCACAAACGCACACACACACACACAAAAAAAACGCCATCACTTCGCATTGCTTTTGACAGGGACGGTGGGAGGGTCGACCTATTGTCCAATATGGCGCTCCTGGTTCGCATGGCGCAGCTGGCACGTGCGGCGCACGTCGCGGGCTTCGCGCACCTGGCTGACATGACGTCTGCAGTGGTTCCCGATGGTTGTCGATGGCGATTCCTCGCGATGCTGAGACTCGGGTGCTACTTATGTGTTGGGAGGGCGGATGGGAATGAGCGAGACAGCTCGTTGCTTGTGGGTACCTCGACCCCTCCCCTACCCCCTCCAACTGGGTCTGGACGGGAAAATTC